CTGGTACTGGGGGTTGAATCTAAGGCATCCTGTGTGTTAGGCAAGTGCTCTAACGCTGAACTCCACGATCAGCTAACTTCCTCTTTTGAAGGTGGGAAACTGTAGGGTGGGCAACCGTGGGGACTTCTGTGTTTCCGGAACTGAAGCCAAGCGTGGGTAGGAGGGGTTGGGGGGTCGCGGCAGGAGGATTTGAATACCAAGAGAAGCTCCTGGCCCTGAGGGTGGTGTACAGCTGCGGGGAAGGATGCTCCGCCCAGCACCGTCTAAGAAGTGCAGTCCTAGAGGGAAGGAGCGCTCCAGGATTGCCGTTTGCACCTCCAGCTTCCTCTGGACAGGCTCTTAGACTGTAGCCCGCGGTCTCTCATCGAAGAAACACCTCCTCCACAGTTGAAGAGCCAACAGGGACGGGGAAGTCTATGCTGAGCAGGCCCTGCCCCTGATCCTGGATATCCACCGAAACCAACCAACAGAAGAACTAACCACAAAACACTAGGAGAGGTCTGCAAAAACTCAGTGCACTCTTAAGGCAGCCTGATCCGGTCACAATCTCTGTCAGTTGGAAGTTACAACAAAAACGTAAATGCAATGCAAACTATCCCCAAACCTGCTTTTTTTTTTTCTTCTGTAAACGATTTAACCTTAGTCATCTTAAAAGAAAAGTCACCAGAAAGTGAAGGGGTTAAAAAATAAAGAACCCCCAAACTGCCCAGCATCTGCCTAGTGCTGGGCCCTGTTTCTAGGAGTGCTGTGTGACCTTATGTTTGATCATATGTGAATACTGGTACTGAGCTTGGGGTGACAGCCTGTGCCCCAAACTATGTTTGTCCATCCATCCTTTCCCAAGCCAGTTTAGAGTGGAAACCAGAAAATGGCATTCCCCCATACCCAGTTCACAAATCTGCCTTCTGGGTCCTGACCGAGATTAAGGTTTAACCTGAAGACTGGGATCTGCACAAGTAAGCACCACGTGGCTTCAGCAGCATCCGGTAAGGTGGTCTGACAAGTTGCAGAACTCTGGAATCCTTTTCTGTGTGACAAGTCCCTCCCCTGACCAGAGAGGCCTTTTCCTTCTCTGGAGCAGCATGAGATCCTGGGAAATTCCCATTCCTTTAGGGTCTGTTGTTATAATATTCCAATAGAAAGACTATGAGATATCAGTATCTCTTTAGAATATCTTCATTTTTGCCAGACCCCTCACAAAAGCATTTTGGAAATCTTGATGGTAAAGCAGATTCCTGGTCACTACCCTGGAAAGCTGTAGTTAGCCTAGGGTCTGGGAGTTTGTAATCATCAGTTTTCTGGGCTGCAGCCCCTGTGTCTTGACAAAGGCATGTGGCTGATTTGGTGACTTAATAAAAAAAAAAAAGTGCTCCTTTTCCCCAGGCTGACATAGCCCCTGCTTGTGCACATGTCTGAAGAGCACATGCAAACTCAGCTCCTGATACTGATCTGCTGGTGACCAGGACTGACCCCTGGAGGGGAGACTCCCACCTGAGGACTTGCAGACCTTACCACCTCTGGCTCTTTGCTTTCCTGTCTGTTACAAATAACTCCAAGTCCATTAGAAAACATGTAGGGACCCAGGTGTGTGTGTAAAAGTCTTGTGATAAAGTTGTTATGGACCAAGGGGAAATCTGTAGTTCTGTCTGTGGGGGCAACCCTCCTCAGAGCTTGCCGCATAGGACATCTTTGAACGCACAGTCGGAAAGTAATAAACACTGTGGTGGGGACCATTCAGGGAAAAAGAAAAGAAATGGAGGTGAGGGGACAGAAATAGGACTCTAAGTGGACAGGCTTTAAAAAGTAACTTGATAAACAACTTCCTTACGAATTTCCTTGGCAAGGACTGGTCCCTGCCAGGAAATCTTGTAGGATTTGGCTCACATGGTGGACATCTTAGTTTTCTCTATTGTCTTAGGCTCCTTCTTGTACCTATATTTCTGACTCAGAACACACCACTCTTTAGAAGGAGAATACACTGGTCTAATAAAATTATGTTATATGGCACTGGTTATATTAATGAATCTTGTTAATATTGATAAAGCCAGGTTCTAAGTGACATGCACTGGAAGTTCTTCTATTTTACATTGGTATTAAAATTCTGTGCTCTCCAGTCTCATGAGCTACCCAGTATGAGATATGAGTGTTTCTCTGTGAGCATTAGTGAATACCAGGATTAAATTCCCATAGCAGTGAGAGTTTTGCTTTCATAATGAGAATTTTTAAGGATTCTCAAACTTTACAAACTAAATTTACAAAAATACCATTGACTAAACTTACAAAACTCCCCAAGTAGTTTAAATGAATATATATATGCACAAAGAAACTAGATCACTCCAGTGAAAGAGAGAGAGAGAGAGAGAGAGAGAGGGAGAGAGAGAGAGAGAGAGAGAGAGAGAGAGAGAGAGAGAAAGGACCTAGTTAGGTAGTTAGGAAACCCAGCACATAAAATGCCCTCCCCATAGAAAGCGATGTCCCAGAGGATTCCTGCTGAGATGTTTCAGAGTCTGATGCTTACTTAGCATGCCTTACTCACAATCGCTGAGTTTCACTAAAAATTACTAAATTTAAAGCAATTAGGGAAGAAAACACTGATCTTTCAACAGAATCTTGAACTACATTAGGAATAAAATAAAACCATGAAATCACTTTTAAATGAAAGTTCCCCTTAGGTTTAAAAAAAATTCTTAATAACAAATACTTACAGTTCGAAAGGTTTGGGCAGGACAGGTCCAGTATCTGGAGTAGAGTCTTACTACAAATGGAGAGACTCTGAGGAAGGGAGAGGTGATCAGCCCGGTGGAGGGTGGGGTAGGGGTGGGCTGTGGTCCAAAGAGCAAAGTCCTGTGCTTTGATTGGCTGTGGTAATCCAGGCAGAAGTGCTAACAACTACCTCTTACCAAATAGGGCCTTTCCTTCTTTACAGTTACAATGGGCTAACCACTGACACCTTGGTGGGGAGGAGAGGGCGTGGTCCATGCAGCAGTTGGTTCGTCTACCTGCCTGGCAAAGCTCACTGATTCTTACACCTTATTTTCCTCTTTTAACATAATAAACAAGAAGGCACTAGGTGACTTGGAATTGCAGGCCTGCTCAGACTGTTCTTGTTTGTGTCTTGAGGTAAGGGTCTCTCTATTGTCCCGGCTATCCTGGAGCTCAATTTGTAGGATGGTTTCACACTCTCAGAGACCCATCTGCCTCTGCCTCCTGTGGCTGGGATTAAAGACATGCACCATCATGCCGGGCTTCTGATCAGATCTTTCTTTTCTCTATTTTCTTCTCCCTCTCTCTTTTCCTCCCTGAGGTGTCAGGGACTGAACCCAGGGCCAGTGCATTTTAGGTGAGAACTCTGTCCCCCTGATATTGCTACAATGCTTTGGTTTCTGTAACAGACTGAACACTTGCTATATGTTAGGCATGATTTTTATTATTTTATGTTTATCAGTGTTGTCATCGTGGTCGTCATCATGACGTCCCGCCCCTCCTCTCCCTGTGGTCCATGCCTGCACATGCATGTGGGCATCTGAGTGCCATGGCACGCATGTGGAGGGCAGAGGGCAGCTTTGGGAAGTCTGTTCTCTCCTTCCATTTGTTGAAACAGCCTTGTCTCTTGTCCCCACTGTGCTGCATAGCTGTGAGATTCCAAGCAATTCTCCTGCCTCTACCCTACCCCCTATCTCTTGTAGGAGTTCTGGGATTACAGTTATGAGCCACCGAGCGTGTGTGTGTGTGTGTGTGTGTGTGTGTGTGTGTGGTGTGTGTGTGTGGTGTGTGTGTGTGTGGTGTGTGTATGTATGCATGTATTTTGTAGATTCCAGGGGTCAAACTGAGATTGTCAGTATTTTTTTCCTCCTGCTCTTTAAAAAAAAAAAAGTATTTTTTGTGTGTATGTGTGTTTTGCTTGTGCGCATGCCTGTGCACCATGTATGTGCCTGTGTGCCCAATGCCCACAGAGGTCAGAAGAAGATGTTGGATCTCCTGGAACTAAAGTTACAGATGGCTATCAACCGCCATGTGGGTGCTGGGAATTAAATTGGGCCCTCTGGCAGAGCAGCCAGTGCTCTTAACTGTTGGGCCATCTCCAGCTCAATTGTTGGGGTTTAGCTGCAAGTGCCTTTGACTGCTGGGCCCTTAGGCATGGTTCTTAATGCTTTTTAACATTTTTGCCTTATGATCCTGAAGGGTGGTATCATTATTGCCTCTACTTGACTGATAAAGAAACTGAGGTACAGACTTACTTGGTGATGGGACTCTGATTCATACTGGTGCACATTCCTACCACACAATTTTGTACAGCCATGTCCCAGCAACCTTAGAGTGAGTGATGTGTAGATTAGAAATGTTCTTCCCCCTCCTCCTCCTCCTCCTCTTCCTCCCCCTCCTCTTCTTCTTCCTCCTCCTCCTCTTCCTCCTCTTCCTCCCCCTCCTCCTCCTCTTCCTCCTCCTCCTCCTCTTCCTCCTCCTCCCCCTCTTCTTCCTCCTCCCCCTCCTCTTCCTCCTCCTCCTCTTCTTCCTCCTCTTCCTCTTCCTCCTCCTCCTCTTCTTCTTCTTCTTTGGATTTGTTTATTTTATTTATATGAGTACACTGTAGCTATCTTCAGACACACCAGAAGAGGGCATCGGATCCAATGACAGACGGTTGTGAGTCACCATGTGGTTGCTGGGAGTTGAACCCATGTCCTCTGGAAGAGTAGACAGTGCTCTTAACCACTGAGACATCCCTCCAGCCCAGGGAATGTTCCATTTCTGAGCAGTTTTATTAAGCCGTAAAATTTATAGGAAGCTTAAAAAAAAAAAAAAAAGACTAGCCTCCTATACAACGAGACTTCCCAGAAGACCAGACCAGAATGCAGACATCCAGGCTAAGTGCCACATAACCAAAGTGAACCTTGAAGGATCCGTTTTCCCAACAAGGGAGATTCCAGTCAACCTGAAGGACAGCAATAAGAACATTCCTCCTGTTGTTTAGCTCTGCTGTGCTGTGCACCCCCACACACTGGTGCTCCTGTGTTGTTGAAGGCTTGGTCTCCTAAGCAAGGGTCAGAAGTTGGGCTGTTGGAGAGTGATTGGTACCTAAGACCCTGACTTAATCAATGAGCTAATTCATTAGTGGATTGATAATTTGATTATTAAAAGGTGGTGAGACCTGTTTGAAGAAAGTATGTCACGGAGGCTCTCCTTGGAAGGCTATTCAGCCCCAAGACATCACATTCTTTTTGCTTCTGGGTGATCAGAGGACATCGGCTTCATCCATCAGACTTCCACCACCAAAATGTCCTGCGTCACCACAGACCAGGACAACCATGGACTCAGACTTCAGAAACAACTGGGAAGTAAATCTTTCTTCCTTCTCTGGTTTCCTCAGGAAGTTGTCACAGTGAGGGCCAGTAAGTAAAGGAAACAGAAATGACTGCTCCCTCTGCGGGGAGAAAGTTTTTATTGTAGGTAAGAGAGAGTACAGGGCTGGAGAGCTGGCTGTCATGGTTAAGTGCACTGGCTGCTCTTCCACAGGGCCCAGGTTCAATTCCCAGCAACCACATGGCAGTTCACACCTGCCTTCACTCCACTTCGAGGGGATCCAACATCCTCATACAGACAGACATATATGCAGGCAAAAATGCCAATCAAATACAATTAGAGACAGAGAGAGAGAGAGAGGAGTAGGGGAGAGAGAGAGAGAGAGAGACAGAGAGACAGAGACAGAGACTGAGAGACACAGTGACAGAGAGAGACAGGGAGAGACAGACAGAGACAGAGAGACAGGGAGAGACAGGGAGAGACAGAGAGACAGACAGAGACAGACACAGAGAGAGACAGGGAGAGATAGAGACAGGAAGAGATAGAGAGAGACAGGGAGAGACAGAGACAGAGAGGGAGAGGGAGATGGAGAGGGGGAAGGAGAGATCAGCCAGAGGCATCCGTAAGAGTGCAGAAAGAAGCAGTCTGGCCAGGTCCAGAGGGAGCCTGTGAACTGAAGCAGCCTGGATGTTCAGAGTAGAGAAGGAGGCGAGAAGAAGCAGGAGGCTGGCATGGGCTTTGAAATGTGACCTCAGGTATAAAGGGAAGTGGTTCTTTCTGGCAGGCAAAATCCCCCATTTCACAAGTTCCCAAGGATCGTTTTTTACTGGACATTGACGGGAAATTGACTAACGAATACCACACTTGCCTTCAACCCTATTGGGAAAGTGATTTTGAAATGACTGATCTACTCTTTTAAAGGTTTTATTATTTTATTATTTATTTATTTATTCATTCATTTGTTTATTGTGCTTGAGGTGTGTGTGTGTGTCTGTGTGCATGTATGTGTCTGTGTGTGTCTGTGTGTCTTTGTGTAGGCAGGTCACAGAACTAAAGTGGGGTTCAGAAGACAACTTACTGGAGTACCTTTGCTACTTTATCATGTGTATCCCATGGATCTACCCATGTGGAAAAGCAAATTTTTTTACACAATCACATACACACAAGTAAATACTCAATTTTGACAAAATTTTACATAAGTTATAGACTGGCTGATTTGTGGCATTATAAGTTGGGGCTGTCTTTTAAGTGTCGGGGCTGGAGAGATGGCTCAGCAGTTAAGAGCACTGACTGCTTTTCCAGAGCATCCTGAGTTCAATTCCCAGCAACCACATGGTGGCTCACAGCCATCTGTAATGAGATCTGATGTCTGAAGACAGCTACTGTGTATTCATATACAACTTCATGCTACCCAGAGCAGGGCACAGAGTGCCTAGTCCATCCTCTCACGGAATCCCAGGAGCTCCTGGAGAGCAGCACAAGATCATGAGCTGCAAGTGCGGGAGACTTAGACTGGAGAGCGAACAGTGGAGAGGGCCATTTTTGGTAAGTAGGTGAATTTTCCAGCGTGAGGGTACCCCTTAGGAACTAGGATTTGACTGGTGAGGACACCGAGCTGGGAATAGAGACAGTGGAGGAAAAGGGGTACAGATCAGTAGAAAGCCAAGGCGACTTCAGTGATCACCCTCAAAGCCATGTCTTGAGATAGTTGAAACTTTGCATATCTTTTTCAATATGTAAATATTCAAATAAGCTCACCAAGGCTACAATGTTCCTGTTTCAACCTTTGGTTTGCTTCCTCTGTTTACTGCCTTGCTTTCTGCGTGTCAGAACACCACACACAATCTACTCATCGCTTCAGACAAGAGCCTAGGTCATTCCTCACTGGGCAGCCATCCTGTTGCAAGGGTTGCTGGCTTTGTCTCAGAAGCGTCTGCCTGCCCCGCCCACTTTCTTCCACCTCTAAAGCCATACCTTCCTTCAGGGAACTGCTACAAACACCTCCTTATTTGCCTCCGCGTTTTTAAGTTATCCCTTCTTTTTTATTCTTTGTTTTGTTTTGTTTTGGTTTGGTTTGGTTTTTCGAGACAGGGTTTCTCTGTGTAGCCCTGGCTGTCCTGGAACTCACTCTGTAGACCAGGCTGGCCTCGAACTCAGAAATCCACCTGCCTCTGCCTCCCAAGTGCTGGAAGTTATCCCTTCTTTATGGCAGCCAGAACCATTGTTTAAAAATGCAAGTCAAATTCTGTTACTTCCTGGCGCCTGCTACCCATGGATGCAGGCTTTCTGTCGGTCCTCCAGGCTTTGCCTTTCCTCAGTGTTCTTACCTCAAGCTTATGGTTCAGTTCCCAAGGAGCTATCACAACCCAACTGGAAGCAGCTCCCCACTTAGCTGAGATCATATCACTCAGGTGGGATTGGGAAAGGACTTAATCTCAAAGGGATGTTTTTCGTTTGTTTCTAGTCTGTTTAGAAGATGTCCTCAAGAAACTAGAAGGAAAGATTTCCTGTCTTTCTTA